TTAAGAGAGAAAATGGAAGTGCTGAGGGTTAGAGAAAGTGATTGAAAGGTGAAAGTAGAGTAACAGAATGGAATAAATGAAATGTTAATCTAGTAAGAGAAGATAAGGGACTGGGAATGAAGAGAAGTAAGAGAAAGTTTAGGAAGGAAGAGATGTGGAGAGGATTGATTGAAGGTATGGATGGAAATATAGGTAAAAAGGAACTCCCCCTTAAACTGCTTCAGTAAGAAGAGAAAATTAAACTCTAGGAAGTGATTTGTATAATTTGAAGTGACTGTAACAGAGAATAATTAATATTTAAGCTTTTTATTTGTAGTATATTTATATTGACCAATTAACTTATGTCTTTGCTTCTTCCTTTTGGGTATTTTTTTTTATTTTTCTAAAATTCTTTGTACCTCTTATGTAGAGTATGCGTAATGTGTAAGTATGTAATCTTTCTTTCTTTCTTTCTTTCTTTCTTTCTTTCTTTCTTTCTTTCTTTTTTGTAATGTGTGTTGTAATGTGTGGTATATGTCATTTTTTAATTGTAATAAATAATAAAAAAAAGAAAAGAAAAGGGAGCAGAGATACTGGTCGATAACTGTTCTTATCCAGGGGGTCCAGGGAAGGCTTTTTCAGGAGTGGCCTAACCGCCGCCTCCTTTAGACAAGATGGAACAATGCCCTCCCTGAGTGACGCGTGGATTGTGTCCCGAAGAAACACATTCAGCGCGCCACCCCCCTGGGCGACCAGCCAAGATGGACAGGGATCGAGGGGGCAAGTCGTCTTCCTCATCCTACCAAGTAGCTTGTCCACGTCATCGGTACTCACAGATTGAAAATGATCCAGTAAAGTTCAAGTTTTATCTCTGAAATGGGTCAGCTTGGTACCTTTAGGAAAGCTGCCTTGCTCCAGCCTCACCCATGTCTACAGCATGGTGATGATGGCAGCAATCACCTTTCAGGGTTGTTGTCAGGATCACTATGCTAAGAGATCACTATGCTTTCCATGGGGAGGGATATTTCAGTTATCAAGGGTGATGCCAGCTTGCATCCTTGAAATGCCAAAATGCAGGAAGAACTACAATGAGTCCTCCACATTTGATAGGGCTAAGGACGCAGGACCCCCATGAAAGTGGAAAAACCACAAATAAAAAAATCAGTCTTATTTTTACCTGAGAGAAAACCTCTCTAAGAATCTCTAGATCTTTCAGCACAACTCTGTGGTCAACATCTGCCAGAAGTTGACCATAAAATTATGCTAGAGAACCTACAAATACCTTCACAAGTGCTCTCTCTAGCAATCTCTAGGTCCTCCAATACAAACTCTGGTGAAAATTGGCGACAGAGTCATGCTGGAGGACCTTGAGATTCCTACAGAAAGCATATTAAATCTGTGAATAATCAAATCCGCAAAAGTCAAAGTTGCAAATGTGGAGGGCTGACTGTACTGTATACCATGCTCTATTTATGCTTTGTCAAACTGGCTTTGGAAGCTCAGTTGAGACTGAACATGGGACTGTACACAGACAATACATGTGGTCTAGTGCCAATCTAACTCCTCTCCCACCCTCTTTTCCAAAAGCACAATGAAATTTGAACTCAAAATTCATAAAAGCCTGAACACCCAGAAAAGGGGTGCTTAAATCTGTTTTATGGTATCTCTTGAGCATTCGATTCTTTAGTCTTTTCTAAGCTCACTTTTACATGGCACAATTACAGCACTGTGATTCCACTGCAACTGCCATGGCTCCAGGAGTGTAGCTAAGAGGAGGAGGCAAAATCATAATTCTGCTTCCTCCTGAAATTTTCCTTCATCCTCCAAATTTCTAATATTACAGTTACATTAAACATTATCGCACAAGTCTCATTCTCACCACAATCGCAATAGTAAAAGAAAATGTAAATATTCCAGTTTAGGAGCATTCATTATCACACATCACTACAATAGCACAAAGATTCTGTGTTTGTCATCCACAGTCCCACACACTCTCTTCCGCACTCCTTGTTAACCCTGCTTTCCTGCCCTATGCCCTTCCCAGTGTGCCTTTCAGGGTTTTTTATTTTTATTTTTAATGTAATTCCACAGTTATGCTAATGTGATTTAATTTTTAAAAAAAGAAGAGAAGAGAAATACAAGGGAAAAGAGAAAACAGCCTGCTTGGTCATAGTGAGAGGGGACAAAGGGAAAGGAGGAGACACTCATACCATGTGACTGCCAATATCAGAACTGCTGCAGCACCTGTGGAATAATGGGAAAGCAGCACAATTGGGAGCTTATTGACAGGTTTTCCCCATCAATTAAAAGGGACGCTCTAACAACACTTCACAGACACAGCAGTGATGAGACAGAAACAAAGTTGTGCGATAAGTATTTTGAAAAATGCTGTTTTCCAACTTTAATTGCAGTTTTAAAGCCTTGTGTGATAACGTCCATAGTTAACACTTCTGTTGAGTATTGAGAAATACAGTTTAGGCTTCCAGGGAACAGGGGTAGGCAAATTTAGTAAGAAAATGTGAATAACAGCAAATGTAAGAGTTCTAGATATGAACCATTTTTTGTGTGTTTCACTTTCTGCAATGCTAGAAATTTGGGGACTGAAGAAAATTTAATGGGGGATAAGATTCTTATTTGGGAGGGACAATGGCTTCAGTTCCTGTCATAGCTATAGCCCTGTATGACTCCATCATATAGAATCCTGGGGTTTATAGTTAATGAGGTATCTAGAATGCTCAGTCAGAGAATTCTAGGTACCTCACCACAGTGCCATCACTAGGGTTGGTATCACTTGGTGCAGCAATCCATGGTGCCACACACACCCTGCATTGATCAGGGGGTTGGACCTGATGGCCCACAAAGCTCCTTCCAACTCTATGATTCTATGACTTTATAACTCTGTGAGCTGCTCATCCTTTCCACTTAGGCGATTGTCATGTTGAGAGCTGCCATTAAAAAATGTAGCACTAGATCACTGGCTTTAAATAATTTTTCATAGATTATTTCATAAATGTAAAACCAGAGTGGACATATTGAGGTCTACTGACAGATCTCAAATGATTTGCTCTAGACAAGAATTTGGCAAGAATTTCTCACTCCCAGTTGTCTAACAATAAAAGCAATGAACAGAGACTCCTTCACGCTGCCCCAAAAATTGTATTGTTGAAATGAAGAAAGTGTCAGGATAACCAGGAGTAGGATTTTGTGTGTAAGGATCCTGCAGTCTGTTCATTGCTCATACTCAGTACCCATTCCTGGGTTGAGGATGCTTTAATTTGAGGCTGAGGAACATGGGGCCTTCCAGGTGTTATTGGTCTACAACTTCCATCAGCCCTCACTACAGCCTATCACTTGTGAATGTTGCAAACCAACAAGAGATGCAAGGAGCTCACATTCCCCAAGCTTGTTCAATTTCTTCTGAGTGCAATATTATGTAACAGGGAGGATAACACTGGTGGTTCTTAGAGTTCATCTAGTTTTGAGTTTGTTTGTTTTTTAAAGTCCAAGTAGATCCACAAACCTCAGGTTTACCCCTTTTAGCTGGAGGAGGCACAGTCCTAGGGAGAAAGAGGATCCTAACTTGAATGCCCCTTAGATGAGTGCATCTTAAGTTATCTGATGCAGGGGACCAGCTATTTTTGCCTCATATGATGCCAGGGACTGGTACCAGATTTATGACCATTGACTACCTTTGGTTCCTCCTTTACTGGAAATTCTACAGAGACCAGCAGCTGAGGGCCTGCCATCTGGCATCCGTCCATGGACCACCACTTTGAGTAGCACTACCCCAGTAGGTTTCCATGGCTGAGCAGGGATTTGTACCCTGGTTTCCCAGAGTCCTAGTCCAATGCTCAAACCACTATACCACACTGGCTGTCTGAGACACTTACTACTGAAGTTCTATTAAACATGTTACAATCATTCACAACAACAACTTGAAGCTTGAACAATGTCAATCTGTAAAAAAGTTTGAAGCTATGGAGTTTGTCACACGGGGAGCCCCATGCAAAATCACTCTTTAAAGTGAAAAAAAGCCACAAAAGTGGAAGCTTTTAATGAACGGGATTATTCCCGTTCTGCTCTGTGTGAAATGTGAAAGCGCTGTTAACAGGGAGGTTAATCCAAACGAAAAGCCCTCATTTTTACTTTCGGGTTTTTCTAAAAGTAAAAAGAAGTGTAAATTAGGGGTTTTCGTTCAGATTAACCTCCTTTTAACATCAATTTAACAGCGACGCTGTGTGAAATCATGGCTGCTTTTGCAGTTTTTTTCTAATTTAAACTCCCGTTTTCACACGGGATTTCCCCCGTGTGATAAACTCCTATGAAAGGTTCACTGGCTGCTTTCCAACCACTTTTCTTTTCCTGCCAGCAGAGGGTTCCTGTCACAGGAATAGGAGGGAGCAGCCACTCCTCCAGCTACAGAAAATGTTTTTGGCTTGGGATAATAGACAAGAAAGCTGGAGAATAGTATGAGGATATGCTGGATGGGGATCAGAGTTGGAGGGGGATATGAAAGCGTCTAGGGGACTAGAGAATAATGTGACGGTAAAAAGGCTTCTTTGGTGTAGAGTAGGATTACCAGTTCCTGGGTCTGGCCCAGAATCTCCAGTTTTCCTGGGTCATTGCCACATAGGTGATGAGGGTGAAAAGTTCCTAGTTTGGGTAGCTTAGCTCTAGGCAAAAGGAAAAGTCCATGTGCAAATCTCCAGCTCAGTTTGGGAAAGCAGCTACTTGCTACAATTTGCAATGCATAATTGATTTCTTGCTGCACCATACAAAGACTTTCCAGGGCTTTAATGTATATTTACTTTAGTTAGCTTTCTCCTTCCTTCCCAATTGTGGTGGTGCCAGGGGTCACCCTCAGCTCTGCTCTGAATCAGCTTTCTGGCTAGAAGCAAGTAGGATAGATTAAAGGTTCTTTATCTCGCCTCCTTAGATAGGTGGGAAGGAATAATCCCTTCAATCCACCTTAATCTGAAAATAGCCTCGTCAACTAGAGGCTAAATTCCTTCATGTCCAAACTGTTCTCTCTCTCTCTCTTTCTTTCTATATATATGTGTGTGTGTGTGTGTTTTAAGGACAAGCTATGAACAACTCTGGTTGGTACTGAATGCATAATAACTTCACCCGGGGCTGTCCCTATGCTCAGATTTTGGCCCAGAAAAACTCAGGGCCTGGGGCAATACTGAACAGACAATCCTAGTGTAGAGGGCTGTTGGTGTGGAACTAGTTGGGATTAGTGTTTCAGTTAAAGGAGATTATTTGGGGGGGGCACAGAAACAGGGAAGAAAAAGGCATACCGCCAGGATAATTGCACGACCATGCTGAAGATTTTCAGATGTTGTTGTACTTATCCAGGACTTATCCTAGGAAGAACCAGGAATGCTCCAGCAACAAACCATTCCCGGGACTTCCCCATGAATGCTTTGTTGCTGGAGATTTCCTGAATCTTCACAGGAGAAGTGCTAGATAATCACGATGTGTCTGAAAATCTTCAGTGTGATCATGCGACTTTGCTAGGAGTATGCCTTTTACTGCCGGCTTTTTTTTCCTGTTATGAAAATCTCCAAAGAGAAAGTGTGAAGATAAAAAAAAATTGTCTTGGAAGTAGTAGTGTGTGTCTGTAGGTAGATGTCTAGGGACTAGAGCAGGGGTCGGCAACCTACGGCCCGTGGGCTGCACCTGGCCCGCCGACCCCCGCCAACCCCCGCTGCTGCCGCGCGTGCCGCTGCCCCGCCACTGCCATGCGCACTTCGCAGGCGCCGTGCGTGCGTTGCAGCCGCCATTTTGTTTTCCAAAATGGCAGCCGCAACTCGTTTGTGCATGCACAGTACTCCTGCGCATGTGCAAACGAGCCTCAGCCACCATTTTGCAAACGAAATGGTGGCCACAACGCACACGGCGTTTGGGTGGGTTGTTGGTAGCGGCAGCTGTAGCAACGGGGGTCGGAGGGGGTTGTGCGCACGCACACCACCATTCCCCCCCCCCGCCCCCGGCCCGGCGGAAGACCAGGTAAAAAATCCTTGTCGACCCCTGGACTAGAGGATAGTGGAAAATGCAAAATGAGTATTACAGGGTGTACAGAGAGGATGGGTGGGCTAGAGAGAATTGCTGGAGATGAAGAGAGAGGTAGGGAGATCTGAAGACTGTCTTGGGGGGTGGTTTACACATATGTATTTGTAAGGTTGGCTGTGTCTCTATGAATAATGGGGTGGGAGTTAAGTATTTGTATAGAGACAGCATGGTAATTTAAGTGTTGTACCAGCATGACAGGAGACTAGGGATGTTACCACACGGGGAGCTCCGAACAGAAGCTGGCTTTAAAGTCAAAGTGCTACCACAAAAGCGGAAGCAATTAATTAGCCTGCTTTCCCCGTGTGAAAACCTCCTGTGCATTTAAAAGGAGGTTACTCCGAACGGAAAGTAGGCAGAAACTCCTTCTTTTTATTTTCGGAAGATCCCCGAAAATAAAAAGAAGCAGTTTCTGACTACTTTCTGTTCGGATTAACCTGCTTTTAAATGCAACGTCGTCTGAAAATATACCCGCTTTTGTGGGTTATTTTCAGTTTAAACCCCCGTTTCCTCACAGGATTTTCCCCGTGTGATAACGTCCTGGGATTCAAATGTCTGCTCAGTCATGGAAACCCACTGGGTGACCCTGTATGTGTCACATGATCTCAGCCTCAGAGGAAGGCAAAAGCAAACCCCCTCTGAATAAATCTTGCCAAGAAAATCCTAGGAGAGGGTAGCCATAAATTGGAGTAGACTTGAAGGAACATAACAACAACAGTAGGGAGGGAGGGAGGGAGGGAGGGAGGGAGGGAGGCTTTGTGAAGAGGGAATGTGAAGAGATATTTGTCTTTATAGAATCATAGAGTTGGAAGGGCCATTGAGTCCAACCCCAAGGAACACAGGAAATCCAACTAAACTAGACAGCATCCTAAGCAGACAGTTGTCCAGCCTCTTTCTGAAGATGTTACATCCAAGGGTATTAAAAGAACTGGCAAATGTAATATCAGATCCATTGGCAATAATCTTTGAGAATTCCTGGAAAACAGGAGAGGTC